CCTTCCACTCCGAGGAAACAGGATCAGCTGAAGAACTGGCAAGGTGAGATAGCTGTGGCTTGTTCTGTCTCTTTGATCTACCAGCATTGACCCCGATAACTGGCCTCGGGTTTGATTTTATTAATAAGTACTTTTAAGATTCCTGCTACAGGGTCCTGCTGGAGGAGGTTATTCCGAGCTATTGAGGACAAGATGGATTCATTTTGACATCTGGCTAAGGGCTAGGGAATAGGAAGGCACAGCACAGAAAGTGTTCAGAATGTGCCCGGCACATTAGCTGGCGGGTGTTGGTAGTTCCTGCTAAGACAAGCAGGGGCCTGACTCCTGCCTGAGGTCCCCAGACCCTTCGGTTTTAGCCAAGCATATGTGGAGTCCACCAAGCCCAAGGGGAAGGTTCCAAGCTTGGATTCAGGGCCTGCCTGCTCCACTTTCTCCTTACAGGAACTGGGTGGGGGGTGGGGGAACTATGCTTGCGGCTCCAGACAGGTCCTCCAGTGACCACATTATTCCAGGGTTTTAATAGTATACTGAGAACAACTTGGGTGAACATAAACATTAAGGTTCTGACAACTGTCAGGTGTCCCAAGTGTCCCAGAGTCTCATGGATGAAGATCCTAATGGTGATGGTGCACATTTCTAACGTAGTTTATAGACTAGGATGTGTAACTTTATAAAATATATATATATATTTAACCAATTTGGGTCTCGAGGCACAGGCCTATAGTCTCAGCTACTCTGGAGGCTGAGGCAGGATGATTACAAGTTCAAGACTAGCCTAGGAAACTTAGTTAAAACCTTGTCACAAAATAAATATAAGAGGGGTTGAAGGTAGCTCAGTGGTAGAGCACTTGTCTATCATGTGCAAGGCCCTAGATTAATATTTTTAATATGGAAAGAAGGAGAGAGAGAGAGAGAGAGAGAGAGAGAGAGAGAGAGAGAGAGAGAGAGAATGCACAGGCCCCATAATCTTAGTATCTGTCACATGCTAAGTAATAGTGGGTAAGACGTGATGATCTTTTTCTTGGGGACAGAGTCCCCCCCCAACCTCCCCCAACTCCCGCAAGTTTGTGGACTACAAAGGGGTGATCAGCAGCCAATTAGGAACAGACACTCAGGAAGTCCCAGCTCATGCATCACTGTAAGGATCCTAAGAAGTCAGTTCAGCTGCTGGAACTGGAGAGGCACGGGGTTGGAATGGAGCCTGAGCTCCGGCCATCCTGTTGCCCTTGAAAGCAGGCAGCCATCTCCAGACCCAAGTGTAGAGATCCATGTGCTCCCCACTCTGCTTCCATCCCCCTGTCCCAGAGGCAGCTCTTCTCTGCTGTCCTCTCCACCACGGCTTCCGCTGCTCCTCAGCTTCTTCAGCCACTGCCAGCCGCTTCCCTCCTTGTCTCCTGGTTATGCTGAGGTCAGACCTGCTGCCACCTCTGGGGAAGGCAATGGCCAGAGGAGGTAGAGAGGAGGAGGAACCGCATTGATTGAAAGACCAGAGAGAGGACAGCAAAGGGATTCTGGGATGCTGGCCACCAGGCAAAGTGGGAGGACGGAGAGAGGACCGGCTGAGAGCATCAGGTCAAAGGGAAGACAGCAAACTTTGGTTTGAAAGACGCCCCAAACTGCGAAAGAGTAAAGGGGCGTGGTCGCTACACATATTTACCTCAAATGGTTCAAAACCAAAGAGTGGTTTTGAAGATGATGAATGACAGCTTGCCAAAGCCTAAAGACGTATTTGAGAGAGGGAAAGGTCAAGTGATGGAGAACAGGATGATGATGACGATCCATACCTGGATAGGTTCCCCTGTGCGTGTGTACGCCCAGTCCACCTGCCAGCCTGTGGACCAGCACATGGATCCGCAACGTTCCATCCAGTCAGCTGGACATCAGGGTTCTGGAGTCCCACAGCCTGACACACAGTTCCCGCAGTCTATTTATCCTCCACTTCTGAGCACCATGAGTATTTGGGGAATCCATAGCCCCTTGGGTAACCTTTGCTTAAGGAACTACACCGCTCTAGCTTCAGAGGGGCTGGGTGATGGGCACCGTGGAGCTCTGTCCTGTCTCCTTGCTAGACAGTCTGGAGATACTGATAGTGATGGCGGCGGCAGGGGCCCTTCTAGGTGCTCAAGGCCCCTGGACTGGTGCGGCCTTCCCAGGACCCTGTCAAAGACTCCCATGGTGCCAGTGTCCAGGAGCCCATTTTCCTTCTACCGTGGCAGTGAGAGATTGCTTGTGTCTCTGTCCCCAGAGCCCCTGAGCTGTTTGTGTCTTTAGAGAGAATGGAACACAAAGCCTGTATTCTCAGGACAAGGGTGGGTAAGACATGACAGCCTCTTTCTTTGGGACACAGCCTCCCCCTACAGGGCCGTGGACTACCACAGGGGTGATGGGCAGTTGACTGTGAGTCCAACGTCATCTAAGTGGCTAGGTGCTGGGCATGGATGTGTGTTAGGTTTGTCTCCATCACCTTCATCCAAGAGAAGACCTAGGAGGAGAGGGACCCACCACGCTCCACAGGTGACGAGGACAAAGGCGAAGGTGGCTGTGCTCTCCTGCCTGCCCCTCCAGAGGGATCCATGCTCTACCCATCAAACGGAGGCGGCCCGGCCTTAGGAAGGACTAGCCGGTAGAGCATCATCTCAGCAGGGGTTCTAGTCACATAAGCTGCTATCTTTTGTGTCCTGAGGCCTGTGGCTTCTGTCACAACTGACTGGATCGGGGCAATGCCGGTCCCCAAGGGGAGCCAGTCCGTAGGATGCCGAGCGACCCATGCAACAAGTGGGACCAAGTGGACCCTGTTGCCCAAGACCAGAGTGCTGGGTGGCGTCGTGCTGTAGGAGTAGGGCGGGGGACAGGGGGGCTGCGGGCCAGTGTGGTGGCGGCCGAGTCCTCGAAGCCGTTCTTACGTAACCACAAATCCACAAAGCAGGCGCCAGTCCGCGATTAGTTGTAGATGAGAAAACAGGTACAGAGCTTCAGCAACGTGCTCAAGGCCACCCAACGGGGGGGGGGGGGGGGACAGAGAGGGGTTCCAGCTCGGCTGGTAACCACAGTTGTCACCGTTCTGCCTCATCAGGGTACGGATGAAGGTCAAGGCCGCTTTCCTGCCAGGTCTGTTTCCACGTACCTGACCTAGGGCTCCCGGGAGCAACTCTAGCCTGTTGTATTATTACCTTCAGGGGACCTGTCTTCTTTGCATCTGAAAGCACTTGGTGACAGTTCCAGAGGACCCCTGGCAGGGCACAGCAGGAACTCTCCAGGCACCTTCCTCGAGCCCCAAGATCCCCAGCTCAGCACTCTGGGGCTGGCCTCGAGGCCGCTCCGGGAAGGGGGCGGGAGAGTCCGCAGGTGGGGTGGGCAAATGGGAGGCTTGTTTCTCAAGGCCGAGAAGTATTTGCATGGTGATGATATTTGAACGCCCGGTCAGGGTGCTTGTACAACAAAGCACTCTGGTACCCCAAAAGAGTTGGAGTGGTGACATCTGAAATTCCATTCATATTCGGGTCCACAGATTAACACTGTTAATTGAGACACCCACGTGTGTGTGTGTGTGTGTGTGTGTGTGTGTGTGTGTGTGTGTGTGTGTCAGGTTGGGGTATGCCTTAGAAAGCAGAAGGTGGGTTAGAGAGAGGGTCAGAGTGAAGGGGCACGAGGCAGCCTCAAGTCTTGTCCCCAGACTTAAGCCCTTACGAATGCTCCACGGGTTTAAATAGGAAGCCGGCTTTCCTGTTCTCTAACGAGGGCTTGTGAGCACAGGGTCTGTGGACGGGAATGTGGGTAGGGATGGGGTGGGGGGCGTGTGTCTGGAAATGCCCGCACTCAGTGAGTCTCCACGGCCTGACCTTCCAACACTGGACTAGTTCTAGGTCAGCATGGCAACACTTTCTCAGATAGAAAGAAGGCTGAGCCTCCCCGCTTCCCTCTGTTCCCTTCTCCTAGACCGGCAGACACCATCATTGTGTCTACGGCAGCCTCGAAGGGCAGACCATTGAGGGCTGAGGCGTGTACAAGTAATACGATGTCGGCTGTCAGTCGAGCTGCCTGAGGGAGGGTTGAGAGCCAAGGAAGCTGGTCCTCAGAGCTGGGCAGTGGTGCACGCCTGTATTCCTAGCACTTGGGAGAGAAGAGGATCCAGAATTCAAGGTCATCTTGGCTGCATCCCGATTCCAGGCCAGCACAGGCTACATGAGATGCTGCCTTTGAAAGAAGGTGGGGAGGGGGCTGGGCATGTTTGCCATTCTTAAGGCCCCGGGTTCAATGTGCAATACCACCATTACTGAATGGGGAAGAAGATCCAAAAACAGTTGGGCTCCCCCAAAAGCCCTTCCTCCCTAGGCTGCCAATGCCATGTGACATGGGCAAGGGTAGGGATGGAGGCTGGCTGCAGTGGGAGCCTGGGGCGGCAGAGGCCTCTGGGGGAAGTCACATAATGGCCGTCCTCAAAGTATGGGGGTGGGTAAGGGCTGCCGTGCTGGGGGTGCAAGAGGCAATCCCTTGGGGTGATGATAAAATAGAGCTTCCCTGGGAACTTACATCATTCTGTGAAGATATTTGGTGCATGTTTTGTAACAGCTTACATTTGTATCATTATATAATTACTGGGGTATAATTACTTCAGATGCATTGTTATGGGCTTCTCAGCAGACAGGTCCACCTGGATGTGGCCCAATCACCCCCAGCCCTAGAGGTTACCCCAGTGGGCAGGCTTGTTTGAAGGATAGGCCACAGGCCAGGACCAGCGCTTGCCCAGCTCCCTCTGCCTCCTCCTCGCACTCCCAGGCATTGGCCCTGACCCCAGTCTCCCTGCTCACCCGACAAAGCTTTCCTCTTGGAGGTCCAGACCTTCTCGGAGGCTGGCCCTGTTCTCCTCCTCCTCCTCCTCCTCCTCCTCCTCCTCCTCCTCTTCCTCCTCCTCCTCCCCATCACGCTCCCTGTCCAACGCCAGCCTTCAGGGCTTCTCCTCTCCACTGTGTGCACACCAGATAAATGAACACACTGCTTCAGACAGTCCTGTTTCCCCGTCAAGGGTCTTTTATTCAATTTCCAAGGTCACTGTCAGGTACTGGGCCCTGTCCCCCATGGCCTCCAGAGAGGGAACACTTAGTCAGAAGGCATTTGGTGTTTCTCCCACTGCCAAGACTGACCATCTCTTCAAGATGTACCAATAGTATCTGCTTAGTTTTCACTCTTTTTCTAACAGAATTCCATAAAAATATAGATCTCTAGCATATATATCTATATTTATACACACACAAACACACACACACACACACATAGAGACCCTTCAACCAAGAAACCAAGGATTGAATGTCCTCCCTCTGGCCCGGGGCTGTGGCCTGGGGCCGTGAGGGGACGTGCAGTGCTAAGGCAGTACAGCATGGAGCCAGGCTCCACTGATCTTCTCCATCCAAGGAAGCTGTGGCCGGCCATGGTAAACCAGGCATCTCTCAGCCCCTTTCTATACATTTTAAAATGAGAGCAAGGTGAACCTGAGGGAGATACGAGAGTGTGGGACAGACGGAAAGGAACTCTCTGCCAGGCCTTGGGGGATGGTCTCCCAAGGGAATGTTCCAGAAGCAGAGTGGCAGGTTGACAAGCTAGCCAGGGACATCTGCCCAGCGGCCTGGACCCTGGCAAGCAAAGCACATGGGCTCCTCCACCCATCCAAGCAGAGCTCTGTGGGGATCTGGGCAGGGGAGCCTACAGGGCCAAGCTGGGGCTTTGGGTCACTCAACAAAGCCCCAGGTGAAGACTGGGCTGTGGGTGATGATGTGTATTGGGACGAGTCCTATAAATCGTCCCTTTGACATCACTCACCCGAGCGGGACCTGCACCATAGGGAAAGCCTTGAAGGAATGTGTACTCAAGGTACTAGAAACGGCTAGGTCAGAACCCTGTTTTATACCCCAAGGCCCATCCTAGAGGGTGTAAGGAAGGTCCATGGAGCTTACTGGCTGGGGCATGTTTCCAGGGAGACGGGAGTGGGTAACAATGGAAGACTTAGGGGCTGTGTTTAGGAGGCCTGGCCTGTCATGAGCCCCAAAGGCACTTAATGGCACAGAGAAAGCTCTCAGGAAACCTCCCCATGGAGGCCACGCCGGGCATCAGCAGTGCTAATTCAGTCTGAGAGGAACCTCCTGTGTCTGGGACCTCACGCGGTGGCTGTCCTGGGCTGGGCCCAAGAACAGTCTTCAAGTGTGCCCTGCCCTGAGACTGGGGAGTTCTCGAGCCCGCCACAGCTCGGTAGAGTCACTTAGATTGAAGCCAGTTTGTCTCCCAAAGGCACCAAGTAAGGCCAGGAAAAGCCTGGCCCGGCCAGAGAGCAGCTGGCAGGTTCATTTCTACAGGCCCGCCAACTCAAGATTGGTTCATCCCAAACCAGGAAATCGGGGAAGCTGAGGGTGGAGCTTGGGTCCAAACACACCTTTTATCTAAAGGGCCCCCCTCCTGCTCAGCAACATTACAATGCCAGCCTCCCGGGAGCAAGGCATTTGCTTTGGATGCAAATCTTGTCCACCCAGCTTCAGAGGGGATCTCAGGCCTAGCTGGCCCTGCAGGGGGTGGGGTGCAGAACTGGCTTCACAGCCCGTGGAAATGTTCACTAGTCATCTATTCCCTGAGGCCCCACACCTGAGTGCAGGGGTCCTCCCCTGGCCCCTGCTTGTGTCTGCTGCGTGCGCGGGACAGCCCGCAGCTGCTGCGGAGGCTCATAGCTCTCTGGGGATGATGGAGAAGGGGAGCACAGGGCTGCTGGCCTCCAGCTCCAGGGCAGTGAGAAAGCAGTCGACGGCAGCCTCGTTCTGGCCTTGGTCCTGCAGCACCTCACCCAGGCTCTGCCAGGCTTCATGGCAGGTGCTCTGTCTCTCCACAGCATCCCGCAGCACCTTCTGGGCCAGGCTCTTGTGGCCCAATTGACTCAGCATCAGACCCTGGAAAAGAAGCACAGTGCAGGGTTAACTTAGACCTGGGGCAGGGGGAGCCTAGCAACCAGGGTGAGCGCAGCAGACTTCTGGCCACCAGCCAGAGAGGCCCTAGGTCTGGCTTGGCCACAGACAAATGATCATGCCCTTTATTCATGCAAAACCTATCTGTCCTCGACCAAGCCCTGTTTCAGGCTCTGCAGGAACTGGGTTCCTTTTATCTTCAAGAGACAGGCCTTCAAGTCTAGGCCTGATTGTGAGTGGCTCCATGGGGGGAATTCTGGGCCCTCAGTTCACTCTGCAATAAATGGGGGAAAAGTTAATGAAAAAATATCACAGCATGGCTGCTTAGGATGACGCGGCTGAAATGAGCCGGCGGCGGCGGCTACAAAGCTGTCCAAGAAATCCAGCCAGGAGCACGCTGCCTGCAGCAGGGAGCGGTCCCTCACCCCAGGGGCGCTGAGAGCACAAGGCACATCTAGTCTGTGACAAAGGGGGGAAGCGTCTCTGCCTGCATCCGCATCCTGGGGACGACGGCTGGGTCCTGGGAGCCAAGCACCGGGCAGAGTCCATGCTGGCAGGTGAGGGGCGGGGGAGGGAGAGGGTCAGGGTCAGAGTTAGATGGGGCTCCGGGATGAAAGACCCTGGGTGTCCAGGTCAGGAGGCAGGAAGCGTGGTCCTGCCGTTGGGCTCCAATGACGGTTACCAGAGAACTAGAGGGAGTGTGCCAGCAGGCACAGTCACAAAGCAGGTGGGAGGTGGAGCTGGCAGCCTTGAAGTCCTCCCCTCCCCCTCCCCCCACACACTGGGGACAAGGGATGTGGTGGCGGGGGACAGGAAGACCTCGGGTTCCAGAGAGGCTGCTACGGACCACTCCACGGATCCCTTTGTCAAGCTCTGAAGGCATCCCAAGATGCTGAGAGGCGGGCCCTTTTCTTGTTCCAGAGAGTGGAGGTAAACCTCCAACTCCAACTTCCTGGGTAGGCAGGGGACCAGGGTGGGTGCGGGGAGCCGTCTTTGTGCTAGGAGCCCCCTCTCTGCAGCCCGCCCACTGACGGCCATGTACATTTTTAGCTGGATTATTTTCCTCCTCCCTAAGCTCCCTAGAGTTAGGCCTTTGGTTTCTATGGAGACGCACCAGGAAAGATGTACATGGCTGACTTCATAAAGTCCTAGGAGAGCTTGGAACATGACCAATTAGGCAAGAAAGGTGGTACTCAGGAAAAGCTGTCTCCAGAGGTGCGGGCTGCAGGTCCCGGGGCCAGAAAGTAGGGAGGCAGAACTGATTTCCCGGATGGCACCCCCCTGTGACCCTAAGCTTGGACACACCCAAGGAACTACTCAGCTCAGCAATCTCCGCCGAAGGCTGTAGAAGAGTGGGTGGGGGCAGGGCATAACCTCAGAAGGGCCCTGGAGCTGACCAGACGCGCACAGCATGCTGACTCAGGGTTGCCGGAACCAGGGGCAGTGTCTGTCTGGCCAGCGGTGCCCCAGGGCACACTGTCCTGCCCACATGGCCCAGGGCAGGACCTTGAGTAGCTCGCAGTGGAACAGGGCCCATAGGGTGGAGGAAAGGAAGGTTCTAGCTGATAGCTGGCAGACACTAAAATGAGGTACCCGAAAAGGGGAGGTCTGGAGCCTGTGAGTGCTGGCCGCAGGGAGTGACAGAGGCCGGAGGGGGCCAGCAGGGCCTACCAGAGGGGGTGTTCTGAGCTTGCTTTCTGGCACTTTCTTATACCGCAAGTTTTACTGGCAAAAAGAGTCCCAGTGGAGCTGGGAATCCCATGGATCTCCAGCTGAGCCTGGGGGTGCAAGCCTGCCATTTGGGAGGCTGAGGCAGGAGGATAACAAGTTCAAAGGCCTGCCTGGGCAGCAGAGTGAGGTCATATCAAAATAGAGAACTGGGGGTGTAGCTGAGTGGTACACCACTTGCCTAGTATGTGGGAGGCCTTAAAGTCAATCCCAGGATGACAAAGGAAAAAAAAAGAAAGGAAGGAAGGAAGGAAGAGAAAGAAAGAGAGAGAAAGAAAGAAAGCAAGAAAGGAAGAAAGGAAGGAAGGGAGGGAGGGAGGAAGGAAGAGAAAGGAAGGAAGGAAGGAAGGAAGGAAGGAAGGAAGGAAGGAAGGAAGGAA